CCGAAAATGGCACCATTGTCAAAGCCTTTAAGTAATATTTATATTTAATAAAAAAGTTATCTATATTCTAATTTTCCTAGTCCTCACCAGCGTCTACATGACAGGATTTTCACTGGATGCAAACCCCCTTCAAAAATCTTTGCCTACCCCCTAAAAAATTCCCGATTATTATTATTTTACCTTTTTAATTTTTTGATACTCTTTTCAGAGGATTTATAAAGGATAACTTGAATTAATCTATCTCTACTACCAATTATCGATATTTTGTGAATATATTTATTTTTTAGATAATAAATTCAATTAAACCCCCATTATTTACAATGAATTAATTATTATGGCAATGAGCTTGCTGAAATAACTAAACCTTTTAAATTACATTTAAAAGGATAGCAGAAAGTTTTATTTGGAAAACAATGTGTATGATTGTTTGCAATATATAAATTTGGTCGATGAATTGTATTATAATAATCCTATGATAAAAGTATTAAATTTTACAGAAATAAATTTTGTCCTATTACATCTACAAATTAAATAGATAGCCCTCCAAAAAATTTATCTTACCCCCATTAAAGCAGTCTACCCCCTACCTCCCTTCAAAAAAATAGGATGTGAACTGTTCCTACCCCTCCCGCTCATGTAGACGCTGGTCCTCACTACTTCATCACTACGCAGCGTCTACATGTCCGCGGAGGGGGGGGGGATAGGAGACAAATGCCTTCAAAATATATTGGCATTTTTGGGGGTAGGTATTGATTTTGGGGGTTTGATATTAATTTTTTGGGGGTAGACATTAATTTTTTGGGGGTAGGTATTGATTTTTGGGGGGTAAATTTTGATTTGAATTATAATCTTTTTAAATTTATTAATTGATACGATTATAATGGTTATCGTTGATTTTCTGACAAATGTCAATTAAAGTAAAGATATTTGTCAATTAATAAATAATATAAACTTTCTTTGTCAACCATTTTCATTTACCATTTTATCAAGTTAATATTTACACATTTCTTATTTGGTACTTTTCTTAGAGGTTAATATATTTATATTATGTTTTTTAATAAATTTCTAGATTTTAGCAGGATAAGTTTTAGGTATTTTTTTGAGTCATGCTTAAAAACATATATTAGCAAGCAAATAATAATAAAAAACATAATATGTAAAAAATTATATTATAATAATTATTTCTTTCTAGATGCCAAGTAACAGAACCTTATTTAAGGTGAAATGTAATTACATTAATTGTAAAACTTCTAAAATAAGAAGTGACAAGATACATGAACATTATAAACATAAACATCCTCATGTCAAGCCAGCTGATATGAAATTTACAAAGGTAGCCATCAAAAGAGATAATAATAATTGGGTATCCTTAAATTGTTATATTCCATATAATATCACAAATGGAGTTGAAACCCAGTTGCAAAAAAAGACAATAACATCTTACTTCCAAAAAGTAATATTTTTTATTTATTATTGTAACTAAAGACAATAAATATTATTGAAAATATACCTTAAATTTGTGAATTAATAGAAACTGATTTTTATTTTAAATTTTACCAGAATTATATTAATATTAAAGTAGTCAGGGTATAGAAATAAATTATATATTTTATTATTAAAAATTTTTTTTAACTGTTTATCACACTATTTTTATATCTATATATACTTTATAAAGTTCAATTTAACAATATGTTTAATTGGTTAATAATAATAATTTAAAACCAAAGTATTAAAAAAACTTATTAAGTTAATATAATGTAGAAAAATAATAAAAGTAAGGTATTGTTAATTTCTAGGAATTTTTAAATTTAATCTTCTCATCTTTAATTGAATTAAGATTTCAAAGTTCTTTTACTTTTTTTTTATATAAATTTTATCCTTAAAATATGACTTGGATTCAACTATTTTCAAAATGTTACCTGTGTCAATTTCATCCCCTTTATTTACATTATGTGTTATATTAGGTATGTTTATAATATTATCACTGTTTTATTTAGCTATTAGAATTTCTTTAGATAATATACTTTCATCATGAATTTCACAATTTTATTTATACTAATTTTTCTATTTATACGTTTACTATTTTTTTTACAGTCATTATAATATTCTTTTATGATTTCTTCATGTGATCGCAGTTTTATATTACTGCATCTATCATGCCTATGAATCTTTCAAGTATATTTTCAAAATGTTTTAACATGATCTTCCTAACAAAGACATTTTATTAATGTTTATGATTAATGCGTTCAAAATTTGTGAATTCCCTTTGTATTCTACATTCACTTGTGCTGTACCTATCACTTGTATCATCTTGCCATTGTAACCTGATAACTTTATGTTGGACTTCATAATATTTTTAATGCCTGTTTTCTCAAACATGTATTCTTGTAGAATTAAAACATTTATTAAAAACTTAATTATAATGTAGTTAGAAAAAAAATTACCATTTGGCTAAAATTTTATTAAAAATATAGTTTTTCATAAGGAAAGAAATTAAACTCCTCTTTAATAGAAAATCTCAGTTATTGAAGATTCACAAATTGTATTATCTCCTCATCCAATCCCCAGTTCCAGTGAGGCGCTTACTTTGCATGATGAGGTATTTAATTAAATTACGAATTATATGATAACTTTTTGAAGGAAGTAAATAATGATTATGAGGTTATTCAAATATTTCCAACATTTATTAAAACTTAATTATAATTTAGCTAAGAAAAAATACCATTTGGCTAAAATTTTATTAAAAATATAGTTTTTCATAAGGAAAGAAATTAAACTCCTCTTTATTTATAGAAAATTTCAGTTATTGACGATTCACAAATTGTATTATCTCCTCATCCAATCCCCAGTTCCAGTGAGGCGGTTACTTTGCATGATGAGGTATTTAATTTAAATACGAATTATATGATAACTTTTGAAGGAAATAAATTATGATTATGAGGTTATTCAAATATTTCCAAAATTTATTGAAAACTTAATTATAATGTAGTTAAGAATAAAATGCTTTACAGATTTTATTTCAATAAAAATAATAATAAGTTTTATTTATTCTTTCCTTTCTTCTTTTCCATTTCACTGCTCCTTTTCCACCTTTTTCTTTACCTTTCAATTTTTATAGGGTTATTAAAATGCTGATTTGGGTCGATTAACAAAAATGACCTTATTATTATTTAGACAAAATAATATTATAAAAGCCTCGAATTTGGCAAAATATGGGTCCAAACATTTTTGCTATCTACGAGCAAAATCTTCAGTCTTACATATTAATTTGGCTAAAATAATTGGGTTATTTTTAAAAAATCGACTTAAATCAGACTTTTTAACAATCCTACCTCCCCCTCCCTTTCTTTTCATTATTCCTTTTTTCTTTTCCTCCTTTTTCTCTCCCCTTTCCTTTACTTTTTTCTTTCGCTTTCCATTGCATTTCCATTTTCTTTTTCTTTACCTTATCCTCTCCTTGTTTTTCCAGATTTTCTTTTCTTTCTCCTTTTCCATTTTTCCTTCTCATTTCCCTTTTCCTTTCTTTTTTTCCATTATCTTTTTCTTTCCCTTTGCTTTTTTTCACTTTTTCTTTTCCTTGCTCTTTCTTTTCCTTCCCCTTTTTCTTTTCATTGTTTCTTTCACTTTTCACCTTTCCCTTTAAATCTATTTTTCTCTCACTTTTCCTTTTTCTCTATTTTTTATTTTACTTTCCATTTTTCTCTATTTTTTATTTTACTTTTCATTACTCCGTTTTCTTTCCTATTTCCTTCATCTTTCTTTTCCCTTTCCCAATTCCTTACAGTTCTGCTCTTTCTATTTTTCTTTTCCCTTTCTTCCTATCATTCTTAGAAAAAGTTTAATTTAAACTGATTCTGGATTGCCATCTTTCAAGCACAGGTAATTTCCCATTAAAAGTTTGATCAAAGAAGGAAAAGGTTCTATCAGAAAAAAGGTTCGAATTCCAATTCGAAAAAGAAAAATCCTTATTTTTCTAAATATTTAAAAAATTTATATGCTCCTACATGATAGAAAGCTTGCCAAAATGGTTCTCCAAACAATATTCATCTTAATTCGCATATATACTTATAATTTTGCATATTATAAAAATTTGTATAATTTATTTCTCATTGTTATTGCTCAATAAAATTAGCTATTGAAAATATACTCATTTATATTATGGCCATACATAAATTAATAATATTTTTTTAATATCCGTTCTTAACCCCATACCCAGATTATATTTTGTGATCCTTCATCATTTGTTCATGTGAATGTCTGATTCTGAGCCGTTTGTAATTCCCAGGCTACTCTTCCTCAGGCCGAAGGCCTGGTTATGATAAATTAATTAGACATTTAACTATCTCCGAGCTTGGGATAAATTCTACATGGGTTTGGCTGGGTTTAAAAAATATTCCTCAGAATTAATATAGGCTTGGGAAAAAATTATAAAAAATAGGTTTAGTATTATGGATTTAGAGATCATAGATGAAGAAATCAAATTTCCATTCCAAATTATAATGGGTTGGGCTGGTCTTGAGAAAAATCAAAATTATTAAGCTCTTGGACGCTTGGAAATTTTTTAATATATAATATAGGCAAAACATTGGCCTAAAAAAATTTTTACAGGCCTGGACGGGGCCCGATTAAAAAAGTGCCATGAAGATCTCTGAATATATTATGATTTTTTTAAAATTTTATCTTAGTTTTAAACTAACAAAATTATTATGGAACCAGGCTTGGGAAATTTTTTTCAAATTTTTAAAAAAATATTAATTATAACTTAACTTTCTTTCTAGTTATTATTTTTAATGATGTCCGTAGGGTTAGAATTTGTGTGAGTAAATTTTTTATTAGCTTAAAATGATATTCACGAGAACAGATAAATTTTAGAAGAGGGGAATGGATACCCCCTCCTCTTCTCCGGCGACCCTTTATATATAGATTAACGGCATTAAATTTTAATTAATGGCATGTCAAAATTTGACGGCATGTTATTTTATAAATTGTCTGATGTGCTAAATCTGATATGTTTTATTATTTTTTTAATGAATCATAATATTTGTATGGTTTCAGATTTTTTTTATCCTAACTCAGGAGGTGTAGAAAATCATATTTATCAATTGTCAACTTTCTTAATTCAACAAGGTTATAAAGTAATTGCGGTTACTCATGGTTATGAGGATAGGAAGGGAATTAGATATTTGCAGAATGGGTTAAAAATTTATTACCTTCCATTAATACCTTTTTATAATTCATGTATACTACCTACATTATATTCCACAACATCTTTAATCAGGCATATTTTGATAAGAGAAGATATATCAATATTACATGGCCATTCAGCTTTTTCAGCCCTGGCCTTAGAATCAATAGTACATGCAAATTTACTAAATATTAAAACAGTTTTTACTGAGCATTCACTATTTGGATTTGCTGATGCGAGCTCTATAATTACTAATCAATTACTAAAAATAACTTTATGCACTTGTAATCATATAATCTGTGTATCACATACAAGCAAAGAGAATACCATATTAAGAGCATACATTAAACCTGAAATGATATCTGTAATTCCTAATGCTATTGACTCTACCATATTTGTTCCAAGAGACCTACATGAACAAATTAATAAAACTAATATAAATATAATTGTTATGAGTAGATTAGTATATCGTAAAGGTATTAGTATGTTAGTAGATATAATTCCAGAAATTTGTTCTTTGTTCCCAAATGTTAATTTTATTATAGGTGGGGATGGACCTAAAAGATTAGATTTGGAAGAAATGAAAGAAAAAAATCAACTAGATAGACAAGTATCATTGCTAGGGAAAATTGAACATGACAATGTTTATGAAATATTAACAAAAGGTCAAATTTTTTTAAACACATCCCTTACAGAGGCTTTTTGTATAGCTATATTAGAAGCTGCTTCATGTGGCTTGCAAGTTGTTTCAACTAAGGTGGGTGGGATTCCTGAGGTATTACCTCAAGAATATATAACTTTAGTAGATCCTAATGTCAAAGCAATAACAAAAGGATTAATTAATACTATCAAAAAGTGTCAAAGTAATGAACAAACATCACCTATAATATTACATAACACAGTAAAGACTTGTTATTCTTGGGATAATATTGCACAGAGAACTGGAAAAATATATGATAATATTTTACAAGAAAAAGAATCAACTATATATGATAAATTAAAAAAATATTATATGACAGGCCCAATATGTGGAAAACTATTTTATCTAATAATATTATTGGATTATATTCTTTTATGGGTTTGTGAATATTTTTACCCCAAAAAATATATTGATAAGTCTCTCAAGTTAAAAAGATATATGCCCTAAGATTGATTACAGAATTCCAAATAATTACAATCATGAATTCATTAATAAATTTAATTTATTGAATATTACCTACTTAATTGTGGAGATTGCAAAAAATTTGCATTTAATTTTAATGATATAATATAATTTATAACCCCCAAATTGCTATAAAAAGATTATATTAATTTGTAATCATAATTTAAAAAAAATTATGCTATATTATTTGATGTTTGTAACACTTTTTATAGAAAAATTATATAAATTTGATAAAAAAATTACCAAAAATTTATTAATCAAGATTGCCCAATCTTGTGTTTGCATTCTCAACAAAAATTTATAATTTTCATTGGTTTTAAATCCTAAAAATTGGGTTTATATTCATCCTGGAAGATTATTTTAAATCTTGAACAATATAATATTTATGGATGTTAGGGAGGCTAACGCTTGCATTTCAATGGAGTTTTAAAAATATCGCCAAAGAAGGTGGGGGGGGGGGGGTCTTAAATATTTTTATGCATATAAAATTTAAAAATGTATTTTCCCATAAAATTAAAGGTAAAAAAATATTTCGTGGTAAATAATCAAAAAAACTTTAATTTTATTATTGAATTAACAGTTATTATTTAAATATTTTTTTGCTATGGTATTTGTAACATTACTTTAAATTAGTGCTGTAAACATTTCTAAAAATTGAACGCGTTCAACCATCATTGACAAAAATCGAATACGTTCACCTCTATGAATAATTTTTTTTAATTTAATATAAATCAGAGACCTACAGGCCCGGCCCTACCAGGGCCCTTATTTTAAATTTTTAACAACCTTTTTGGTACAAGAATTTCATTCATATTTTGGACCTCATCGATCTTTAAAAAATTATTACCACTCGATTTAGAAAAATTGCTAATCCTTTTTTGTATCTAAACATTTCATATAAGAATTGTCAGATTCTTTCTCCCAAAATGTGTGGTCTAGGTGTTATCCCTCTTTCCAAGGCGCTCTATCAGCCTTAATTTACCTTGACTATCATATTTTTTTTTAAATAACCGAATTAATGAAGCCTTCTGACATTTAGACTCCACTATGAAATAATAATTGTATATCATTAAATATAAAATTGATAAGTTATTTTTATTAAAAAATAATTTTGACCAGTAAAAATAAGATTTGATCAAAAAAGAATTCTAAAAACAACATATTAACTAGGTTAGGGCAGATAGGAGCAAAGGGTTAGAGAGATATAATTTGTCAAAATTAAAATGTCTAAGTAACCTGAAAATTCTGGGGGCAACATTATTTAAATATTTTATTAATTATGTATTAATTTATTTTCTTATAATAGATATAAATAAGTCATTAAAATTAAAATAATTATAAGAAAATATAAGTTAATACTATTTAATTTGCAAGGTGGCGTTTATTGTTATTATCATTTATAAAATGATATCACAACAAACAAATCTTGGGTCGATTTAAAAAAATTAGACATTATATAGTGATTATAATTTTTCCAAAAATCTCAAAATTTAGATATTAATTGTAATAATGAATTTATTTTACTGAAAAATTAATTTAAATAATGAATCCACTGGTATATTAATTCAAATAAATTTATTATTGGGAAATTAGTATAAATAATAAATTTATTTTACTGGTAAATACATATAAATATATTTTATTGGTAAATTAATTTAAATAAGAAATTTATTTCATTGAAAAATTAATTAATAATAAATTTATTTTTACTGGTAAACTAATTTAAATAATGAACTTTGTTTGCTGATAATATAATTTAAATAATGGAGAAAACCCAAATTAACTTATAAATCAATAATACTGAAAAAAAAAATATATTTTCTGGTAAATCTATTAAAATACCAAATTTTTTTATACTTAAACCGAAAATACTGATACATTATTATTTATACTGGTAAAATTAATAAAATACTGTTAATTTTGTTATCATACTGAAAACTATTTATAAAAAAAGTGGAAAAATAAATAATCGCCTTTTAAAAATATCAATATCGTTACCACTGAAAAAAAATAGCTACGCGCTACTTTTAAAAGAAGCTTGTATTTAACATTGCACCAATCGTTTAGAAAAGGTATTATTTTTTATTAATATTTTTTGATTAAAAATTTTTCTGTTTTTTTTTCGAATAATTTTTATAAAATATATTTTTAAAAGTTAAATTAAAAATTTACAATTAATATAGTTTTCAAACGATAATGCTTAATTATTCTAGTGATTGTTAGATCAGATCGAATTAAAAATTAACAGAATCTCTTTTTTATTCTTTTTTCTTATAAATCAGGTTATCATCTTGATATGAATAATTTCTCGAAACCTTTTTGTTATCATCTTTAAACTTTTGAGCCGTGTCGTTTGAAAAGCGAAATACAATTGAATCCTTTTTAAATTTTTGTGGCAATTCAGTGACATTCGGAAGAGGATTTTCAGAGTATTTCTTTAAAGAATAAAATAATTTAGATAAATAATCTTTGATAAATTTATATAAACAAATAAGTGTCCTATTTTTGCTAAACCATTTTTCTTTACATTTTTCTTCTTTAAAAGTAGGGTTGGCAAATCGGACGAAAATGTATTTGAACGCCCAAAATACTCTACAATGTTATTTTTGGGACTAAGTAAAACTCATAATTTTTTCATGTGTACTTCGATGGAATGAAACAGTGGCGTAGCTACGGGAGTGGTTTCCGGATTTGGACCCCTCCCAGAGAAAAATTTTTTTTTTAGATTATGCCTTCAAAAGACTTAATATCAAATAAATACCATGAATATTTATATTTTTCTATTTTTGATGTTTGTGGAAGGATATTATTATACTATTGAAATTATTCTGGATAGTATTATTATAAATTTATTGAGAATAATCTACTAAATTATAATAATATATTATTGATGAATTTAAAAAATATGTATATTATACAATGTCGAATATATTGTTATAATTTTTAAGATAAACCCGGCCGAAGACCCGTTAAAGGGGGTCTGGAGGCCAAAGCCCCCCAGACTTTTATATGTATGGACCTCCTCTAAGTAAAATTCCTAGCTACGCCACTGGAATGAAATAACATTATTAAATCATAGTGCTATATGCCCGATCTTAGTCAAGCCATCTTAACGAATTTAATCCCTAAAAATTATGTTATTAATAAAAAAAATAATGATATTTTTGATAGTAGTTCAAACATAATCAAGAATTAGCTTACTCAACTAGACAATACTTTAACAAGTGTATCCCACATTTTGATTTTAATTCCATTTTAACAAACTGACCAAATATAAGATAAAGAAGAATCCAGTTAGTATGAAATGTTTTGTAAATATAACAACAATAAATTACAATTATTATAAAATATTTACAAAAGCTGTATTCGCCAATTTACTATTTAACATCAGTGAAAATTCTTATGGGAAATATCAAAAGAATACACCTTATTAATAAATTACCCTGTCAAAAACAGTTGGCGAAACCTCTCCTAGATAAAGCTTTTGTAGATATTTTAAACATTTTGAACGGGTATACTCCTATTTAATTAACATATATTAATTTTTTTCGAAATAACATCAAATCTATTTAATTAAGCTCAGCTCACGATGTGATTTCTCTAAAAAATGTTGCAAATAAAAATTTTTAAAAGTATCCGTTGCTGAAGAAACTGTTTGTGATAAATAGGTCAAAGAAAAATTAGTGATATTTAGACCGATGAACAATTTTGGATAAAAAAATTTTAAAGTTCATAAATATACCATAACTCTTAGCTATATCATTGTTATCAAGGGGGAAAAGTACTCTGACCCACGTTAAAAATAATCCTTTATAACAGCATGTTATTCAATCGGGTCCCGCCAGAAATAAAATATTTTAAATAAGTTTTAAAAAATCTCAGTTCAACAGCTCACATTGTTGCCTACTTGTTAAATGCCCAATATCAAGCCCAAATTTTAGTAATAATAAAGTAGTGATAATAAATCATTTTAGGTTATATTAAATTCAATATAAGTGCGGTATCATTTATAAGCAAAATATGTGGAATGTGGTAGAATCTATAAATATTAAGCAGATGTCTGCATTAAGCTGAGGGTAGTATCTTTATACACCTTAGCCTTTAAAGGAAGTGACAAATGACATATTTACACTTCCAAATTCAATTTTCTTTTCAAAAAAAAAATAAATCCACTTGGTGTGTATAATATTCATACAATACTAAGAACCGAAATAGATTTAAAATTGAAATGAGGAAATTAGTTATAACATATATGATTAATTGTAAAAGAATGTTAATAACTTGTTAAATGCGGGGTAAAAATATTTGCCATAACAAACTACACATTATTTTTAGAATAAAATAATCAAAATATAGAATTTAATGATGTGCATTGATTCATGAATATATTTTATATCTATTGTACCAAATTAAGTTAATATTGTCATAAAAACAGATAGATAAAATAATGAGAAAGGGTTGTTACAGGCGAGTACGCAGCGGGGAGAGGGGGGTGGGCAAATATCCCCCCTTCCCAAAGCCAAAAAATGAAAATGCCGGATATATTTAAAAAAAATATTATTGTTTATATTAATTTATCTTTTATAGTATTTATTCCTATCTCTTTCTTTTTAAATATATATTTAATTAATCACATTCATTTACTAAGTTATTTTATTTAATCAAGTTTTTGGCATAATATTTATCTATTATTTTCTAATTTCTAGTGGCATAATATTTATCTATCATTTTCAAATTTCTAGTCAAATAATAATCAAGGACATAAGAAATTTTTTTAAACCATGATGATGAAAATCCTAGTCAACACAAAAAAAGCAAAAAAGTACAAATAATTTTATAATATTTTATTTAGCCTAGAAGAAAGACATACACTTCTTAAAAAGGTAATAAAGAAACCTATGATAAATATTTATTTTATAATATATTTATATTCCACACCTCAATTTTCAATATCCACAAACTTTATGTGCTAATCGAAAGTTAAAATTTCAAAACAGCTCTTTTACTTGATGGTTATGGCTAGCATTCTCTATCCGAGACTTGCAAGATATGTGTTCTGTTTGGCCCAAGATATGATGGAAGAAATTTAGTTAAGCTTAACTGTTAAGACTCCTGTTAGAGAAATCTTTCACAATCATAATCACAAAAGCTATGAACTGATGATTTCTTCAAATTATTTCTAAGTGAGGATATGATTCCCATTTCATCACATATTGACAAAAATAGGATTAAAATAGCAAAAGAAAATAGATGTAAGATCAAACTAACTTTTAAGGTCATTCTATATTGTGGCTGGGCCTAGCATTACGTGACCATTTGGATTCAGGAAGCTTGAACTTAAATAATAATAATGAAGGTAATTTTCGTAATCTTGTAAAATTTAAAGCTTTAGGGGATTCTGTAATAAAATATCCCAGCGACAAAATATTTTAAACAGCGTCCAAAAAGGAGAAAGAAAAGCTTGTCCAACGAGATGGAGTCTTCGCCATCAAGCAGTAATAGCTTTTATGGAGTTAGAAGAGACGATTAATAATTCTCTTACTGAAATATCACAATGGACTGAAAGAGATATTTCCTCGGAAGCAAGCAAATTATTGGATTCAATACTTATACCAATTTTTTAATCGAGACGTTGAGTTGAGAATAGAGGAGAGTATTTTATTAGAACTCATTAGATTTACACCTAATAATAAATCCACTTAAAACAAGATTAAACTTGAACCATGTATCAAATAGGGTAGATTAAAATCAATAACAGTAATAGACACTGCCAAATCGACACTAGGCTTGACAAAGGGAGGCAACAAATCATACAAAGAACGATAGTGGTGGAATGAAGAGGTACAAACCACTATACAGGAGAAAAAAGCCCTATATAAAATATGGTACAAATCCAAAAACCCAAATAAGACAAAATACAAAAAATACAAAGGCGGTGGCTAGGGCCAAAGCAATGGCATACGATAACATATACAATGGAAAGAATATTTTCAGGAGCTTCTCAACTTTAATCCCCACATACTACGTCTAGATGAAATGTCAAAACCTTAAACAGCCAATAACAGAACAAGAAATAATCACATGCCTCACGAATATGAAAAATAAAAGAGCTAAGGGTCCAGATGATATTCCAATATAAAGCCTTAAAGCCCTAGGAGATGATGAAATACATATCCTCACAAATCTGTACAATAAAATACTGGGAAATTAAGAGATTCCTCAAAAATGGAGGCAGAGCTATCTAGTTCCTATCTTCAAAAATAAAGGGGATCCACACAATTGTCAAAATTACAGGTGGATAAAACTAATGTCACACTGTCTTAAACTCTATGAAAAAATAATAGAAAAAAGGTTAAGAGACATAATCAAAATAGGAGAGACTCAGTTTGGCTCTATTCCTGGGAGATCAACGACTGATGCAATCCACGCAATTAGGCAAATGAGCGAAAAATACAGGGAAAAGAACAAAAAGTTATTCATGGTCTATCTCAATCTAGAAAAGGCCTTCGATAGAATTCCAAGAAAACTTATCTGGTGAGCGCTACGCCACAAAAAGGTTCCCGAAAAATATATAAGAATAATGCAGGATATGTATATGGGCCATACAACAAGGTCCGTAGCACAACTGGTACTTCAACAGGCTTCACAATAGCCGAGGGAGTTCATCAAGAGTCGGCTCTCAGCCCACTTCTCTTCACAACAGTAATAGATGTATTATCACAGTCTATATCTCAAACAGTCCCTTGGAATATGATATTTGCAGATGATATGTGATACTTGCTGAATTTAAGGATGAAATGAAAGATTAGTGAATTGGATAAATATCCTAGAAAAGCACGGACTAAAAGTAAATAGAGAAAAGACGGAGTATATGGTTAGGAGATGAAACAGAGAGCATTGATATAAATGAATGGCAGATATCGCCAATTGAAAGTTGCAAATATTTGGGCATACAAACAAACGGCACAATAGAGAAAGAGATAAAGAGTAAAATTAATCAAGGGTGGTTAAAGTGAAGATCTTTATCTGGAGTGCTCTTTGACAAATGAATCCCACACAAATTGAAGGGAAAAATTTACAGTTCCATAGTACAACCAACTATTCTATATAGTTCGTAAACATGGCCAACCAAAGGATCAGGCGAGAGAAGTCTACAAACTATGGAGATGAGAATGCTAAGGATGATTGCTGGGGTAACAAGAAAGGATAAGGTGCGAAGTACAAGAATACTAGGAAGTTTATAGGTAGTGCCCAATAAGATTAAGATAATGGTAAACAGACTTAGGTGGTATGGGCACACAATTAACTATATAGGAAATAAGGTTGAGTTTGGAAGTGATGGGTAAACGTAAAAAGGAAAAAACTTCAATGGGGCCATAAAGTTAGAGCCAATATGAAGAAGTATAAATTAAATAAAAGAGATAGCATGAATAACATAAAGTGGAGAGAGATAATGAAGGAGCTTATCACCAGAAAAGGTGAAAGCTAAAAAGAAAAATAAAAATTAAATTAGGGCTAATGTTGATGAAGAATTTCACATTTTATATGAGCAGAGCTATACGAGTTTAATATTTGTCTCCCTCGACTTGCAGCAAGACAAGCTCATCGTCTAAACATTAATATAGGGTCAGTAGAAGAGTATTATAAAATAAATGTCTTTATCCGTTTCTTAGATACATTTATAACTTAAATAAATGAACGGTTTTTAATTCATCAGGCAGCACCTACCAACAAATATTACTTCCACAAAAGCCTTCCCAATCTTTTTCAGATGGTATAGAAAAATAATAAAATATTTAGTATTTTTATAATAAAAAGCATATTATGATGCCTTATTAGCTGAATGCCAACTATGGTATAAAAATTAACTATGGTTGATAGAGTCCCAAAAAATACTCTGGATGCTTTGCATTATTTTAAACATCTTTTAGATTATTTTCCCAATGCATTAAAATTATTAAATATATTAGCACAAGCCCTAACCCTCCTAAGAAGAAGTACAACTTCAGAAATTAGATCGAATGGTTTGGTTCTTTTGGATATTCATAGGCATTTGACTCCAAGCACGGATGAGAAAATTGAAAAATTAGCTAAATCCCAACTATGGAATTTGTATATTACATATATATATCAATATGGTAATTTGTGTGTTACATATGTATCGAAATTCGTATATTACATATCAATATCAATAATGTCAAGCATCATAATTATATATGACATTTATAACATTAATAATATATATTATATCTCATTTATAACACCAACGAAGATTGGATATTACATTATTAATATATAATAGGCTTCTTATTATTATTATTTGTGCACATTTATTTTTTAATATGTTATATATTTTTTCATGTAAAATTACTTATTTTTATAAAAATCTGTTGAACCAGCCAGGCCAGTAATAAAAAACATACTGTATATGGGTTGTGAAATATAAATAAGTTGTTTACTTTTGACTTTTTACATACATCTCATTCAATGATCATAAATATGTGTAAAAAATAGCTATATAAAGTTGATTAATATATTTGGTTTATACAATAAATTTTATTGAAAATTTTGCAAATGATAAGTATATTGTTGTAATCATTTTAACAATCTATGTTCGTTGAGCTTAGTTAGTATTAAAATAACATAAATTAACAATCAATTAATTAATACTAAAAAATAACAATAGAAAATCAAATTGATCAAAAAATTTATTATATTAAAATTATTATACCTAGGTTCTATTTAATTTCAATGAATTAAGAACAAGAAATACAATCACAAATGTTGGCTCTATTATTTCTATAATAAATTAATGTATGAAAATATAATAAATTAATCAAAACTTATCTTTTACTCTAATCAAACTCAAAAGGAAGCGTTTTTAAGTCACTTGAAAAAAAACAGAGCTCGTGGTAATGATGTATGACGTCAAGCGACGTTATTAATATTTTATGCATTAAAATATAGTAAACGACATGATAATTCTCAAGGAATATGATATTCAAATAATAGTTACCATTATAAATAAATTAATGATAAGAGAAAATAATGTGAACATAATTTTTTTTTTCTAACGGCCTCTTGTTATATTTTTCTCTGATCGGCCTTAAAAGTGGACAATTCCTCGCGGCCACGTGGCCAAAATGCCCACCTGGTCTTATAGCCAGTCCGCCCCTGCCTGTAACGCTATATACTTTAGCAACTTTGTAATTGAAATATTAAATCATGAAGAAGGTAACATGATGAATATGATTTTTGTGATGGATTATGTTCAATTTCATCATAATCATACAATTAGGGAATCGATAGAAAGAAGAGAACATACATTGAAATATTTACCACCTTACAGTCCTTATCTTAATCCAATTGAAAATATGTTTTTCAATGAAAGGATTTTGTCAGAAATCAAACAATAACGAGGAGGATCGTTTTATAGAGCATGCAGAGAGAGGAATATATGAGGGGAATGCAATAAATCATTTTAGAAATATGGAGACCAGTATTCCAAAATGTAGAAGAAGGGGAATTATTAATGATTAATATAAATTTTTGTTTCTTACTATATTACATATATATCGTAATTGTAATTAAATAATTTGATATGTAAAAAATTCAAATATAAAAAAATTGTCTGCCAAAAATTTAGTGAAAATTAAATATAATTCCTAAAAAGAATTATCATAAATGAGAAAAAAAAATTGAGAAAAGATCAAAATAATAAGATTAAAAATGAATTAAAGAGTTTGAAAAGGTTAGAAATGTATGTAAAAGATTACAATATAAGGAGAAAAAATCATAAAAAGTCAAATTATTGTTATGTATGATGAAAAAAAAGTAAAGAATTGTTGAAAAAATTGAGCAGAAAGGTGAAGAAAAATAACGGAAAATTTATAAATTATTTTTAAAAAGATAAAAGAATTATCAAAAATGAGAAGAAAAATAAATTGAGAAAAGATATAGCAAGAAAAATAAAGAAAAGAAATCGCTAAAAGTTAGAAATAAAATAAGGAATAATAAAACAAATAAAAATTTAAGAAAAATTGACAAGAATAACAATTTTTCCTTTTTTAATGTTAATTTTACTTTGATTGCTTTTCCTATTTTGTTTGACACTTCCTTTTTTGATTGAATTTCCTTTTTTGTTTGACACTTCCTTTTTTGACTGAACCTTTTCCTTTTATGATTTTGACTTCTTTCCTTTTTTGATTGTACCTTTTCCTTTTATGATTGAAACTTTTCCTTTTTTGAATGGGAAACCTTGCATCAAAAATGAGAAGAAAAATAAATTGAGAAAAGATATAGTAGGAAAAATAAAGTAAATCGCAAGATAGAAATAAAATAAGAAGGAATAATAAAAATAAATAAAAATTTAAGAAAAATTGACAAGAAAAAAAATTTAAAAAATAACGATTTTCCTTTTTTGATTGACACTTTTCCCTTTTTTATTTGACTCTTTACTTTCTTTGATTGAACCTTTTCCTTTTCTGATCAAACTTTTTCCTAAGTCTTTGGAACTTTTCCTTTTTTGATTGACACTTTTCCTTTTTCGATTGGACCTTTTCCTTTTTTGATAGAACGTTTTCCTTTTATTATTGAAACTTTTCCTTTTTTGAATGGGAAACCCTGTATTTCCAAGCAATTTAAAAAATAAATGAAGAATTAAATCCTACAAAAGTGCGTTCTTTAGTTATGGAAGATCCGGCTAATATGAAAGCTACTTGGAGACTCTTAAAATCCAAATCGGCCTTTAATCACCTTATTAAAAAAATCGATTTATTTAAAAAATTAAATTTTTATTAGCTAAATTTTATATGGAATAATATTTTTCCTCGTAAATTATTTCAAATTATAGCTTAATTTTAAACGTAAAGTTTATCATTTCTGCAAAGTATCAATTTTAAACTGATTTATCTATTTAAGACAACACTTGTTACATTTGAAATGATACTTTAATAGGTAAAATTTATATAAGGCTTGATGTCGATATTCAATAAAGAGATTAGATTCCCGTAAGATTAGATTCCCGTAAATTTAAGTTATCGGTTTTAACGAAATATTAATTTAAAAAAAAACTAACTTGATTATAATCTTTAAAATTTGATGAATGATGCGATTTGTTTTCAATTAGCCTTAATTCACCATTACGGTTGTTAGTTATGTTGACCAAAGTATCTATAGATTTTATAATATATACTAAAGACAGGATCACATCACATGATGTAAATTTTATTTTACTTCAATAGTTAGCAAAATAATGTCCTTTTCCCTATGCAGACTTGTTTAATCAACATTTTAAGGGAGGCCTGGGTCATAGGCGTAGCCAGGATTTTCCTAAAGGGGGGGGATTAAAAAATTACTCAGACCTTATTTTGGGCGGGCCTTCGGCCGGGTTACCTTAGTCTATATATAGTCATAAAATAATTTTACAAGATAGGAGGTATTTTAATAAAAAAAATAAGCATGGAACAAATATGAAATATATTTTTATTGGTTTATATAAAATATAATAAATTACTTGTATATACATTAATATAAAAGCATGGTAATAATTTATTCCAAACAAGTATAAGAAATTTATTTAAAAAGTAAGTAAACATATAGTTGATATTCCTCTTATATAGAATCAGTTACAAAATACTAAGTAAAATTATACTTTTACAGACATATTTGACAGTTAGAGAATATATTACAGTTAATATTTTAACAATTTTTCTAATCAATGTTCTTGATAATATATACAGCAACAATTTGCATTCAATTATTTAACGCCATCTATTTATTTTTAAATAAAAAATGATAATAAAAATTAATCTTCTTATTATTTATCCTACAATATCATTAAAAGATATTTTCTCATGTCCTTATCAATATTTTATAGTTTTCTTTAAAAAATATAATTCGCTATATTGGTAAAAATTATTTGATTGTCATATGATAATTGATAAAATTAGATATACTGTAAATCTACGACATATAATATTCCACTGTTTGTATAGTGCTTTAATTATTTTTATTTAATTTATGATTTAACTTATCAATAGTTTTACAATTATATTTTACTTTTATTAAGATAAATAAATTAAATTACTCACTTTATAAAAAATTATATTTGATATATTATATTATTTAGTAATTTTATGGATCTATTATTAATAATTATAATACATTTCACTTTTGTCTACTTATCTTTGGCTTATATTCCATTTCTATAAAAACATTTTTGGTTCACTTTTTATATATATAAATGCTTTTTTCCAAAAATGTATAAATTATGATGAATAGTTTTATAAAAAAATATCAACTTTTACATTCTTTCTTTCAAATTATTGATTAAGATATATGCATACATTTTTGAGGGTCAGGGAGTGGGGGAAGGACTAAGGGAAATATTTTTTATTAGCTTAAAATGATATTCACAAAAGTGATAAATTTCTGAGGGGGGGGGGAAATTTCCCCTTGCCCCCCACTGGCTACGCCTAAGGCTTGGGTACATCGGTTCATGATAGAGGCCAACTCAATTTATTTCAAAACGAATTCACTAGGCTAAAAAATTTCTTTCAGCTAACCCCAAAATAAATCATTTATTACTAAATATCGCTAGGTTGGGAAATGCCAATGAGCACTCAACAAATTATTTTTTATTTAAATAATGCTCAGCTATCAATAAATATTCAAATAAAGTAACCCATGACCGGAAAATATTTTTTTTACAAAAGTATAAAAATAATATTCTATCCGCTAGATAGCGTAAGTATTTTTAATTTTTATTATAAAATATAAAAATATTATTTTGAATGTGTTTTATCATGTTGAAAATACAATTTTTTTTATAGCATTAACTATAATTTGTCGAAAAAACAAGGTGCAAATGCTGTTATGTCTAAAATAATTATACAGGATATTTTTTTAATAGGTTTATATTTTCTCGGAATGACCAAATATATAATGAAAAATTAAAATACAATTATTGTAATAATGAGAATTTATATATTTTTTTGCCATTAAAAAATAAATTTCAAATGATTTATGAACATGTTTACATTTCCCTAAAATAAAATATTTATGGAATGATAACAACTGCGAATCTATGAATTACGTTTTAAAATCATATATAAACTGGAAAAACCTCCTTTAAAAGAATTAATCGAAAAAATTAAAGATATAACAATGTTACAAAATCCTTTTCAGGAAAAGGAGAATATTTTTTAAATAATGAATATCGCATTTATTTTAAATACCCGAATCGATAGATTGTCATGATACATTAAATAATTTATAGCCAAAGCAAAGACAAATTACATTCATTAGATAAAACTTTATTTGTTTTAAAACCAAAATGCTCAAAAAACTTCATCAGCGACGTAGAATTTAAGCAGAAATGACTCGAAAAAATATATTTTATTAATTTTATTCTTTATTTTTTTCATTATTTTCCCCTGCTCATTTCCTATATTTCTAGAATATTGAAGATAATTTTATTACCCTAAATTTATATTTAATTCTCTGTCGAACAAGATATTTTATTAACGCAACAATTATATTAGTATAACAGCATCATTATATCAATTTTGTAAAAATATTTATGATTTATAATTATGATTGTAAATATTATAGCCATCACCATAGAATATGGCAAAATTTATTAAATACATTCAAAAATATTATTTTTATATTTTATGATAAAAATTAAAAATATTTAAAGATGCAATCTAGCGGATTGAATATTAATTTTTTACTTTTATAAATAAAAATAAGTTATGTATATTTAATTTTATAATTGTATTGAAGCTAAAATATTTAATAGATAATTTTTTATACCTGTCCAAACATTTATTTTACTTATAAAAATTAATTAATTCTCAATTAATATTAGGAAAGTGAAAGCTCACTGGAATATAATTGGAAATATTATACATAAATAAAGGATAGCCGAGTTATATTTGATAGTAAATAATTTATTATGTAATTATTAGCCAAGCGTTATTTAAATAAAAAATAATTTATTATGTGGTTAGCTGATCGACATTTCCCAGCCGAGCGATATTTATTAATAAATGACTTATTATGTGGTTAGCTGAGCGATAAATAGACCTACCGATTTAATTAATGTTGTATAAATTATAATTCTGCTGATTATATCAATTAGAGTTACTAAAATTTTAATCTTATTTTATAGCTTTTTGAAAATCTGCATTTCTATAATTTTTAATTCTAGTATATAAATTAATAAAATTTTAATCTTAATTTATGTCCCTTCGAATAATTAAAAATGTATAAAAAAAATTTGTTATAATGTCGAGTTAGAATTTAAAATCATTAACTGAAGGCAATTTTAGAATTTGAATAATTATATTTGTGCGGAAATATATTCTAGCATATCTTGAGTATTACCATATAAATTTCATAAATTTTTGTCATAAACCTTTGTGTATTTATAATTCATATGAAATATCGAGCATTCTAACATAAATTAAGAGTCGTTACAAGATAAAATTGTCTAAAATTCACGCCCATATCAGGTTTTTCAGGTTTAAAAAATTGAGAGATTGAATAAATAAAATTGTATAAAAAATTTAATTTGATTAATTTCCTAATAGGCTTCATCCCAGCATAAAATGTTACATATTAATTTGTTAATGGTGGGTTCTAAAAAGGTTTATTATTAATTCCTTCCAAACTAAAAAAGTAAGTTAATATAAACTTAATGAATTATAAGGGATAGGATAGACATTTGGAATTTTATTGGTAAAAATAGCATTTTACTAAATTATATATGTATAAACACATATTTCATATCATAAATCTAAACATAAACCTCGTTTTTTGGATTGATAGAATAATGGTTTTCCCTCTGCTTTCAAGAAATGATCCTTGCTTAGGTATTTAGGCCTGTTTCCGCGTTCAAAATATCTGCCATGATTGTGACTTCCCACTAAAATTTTACCAATTAGATTTATAGAATAAAAATTCTGAAATTTATTTCTAATTTGGACTATTCGCATTTAAGCACGGCCAGGGCAAAAGATTTTGAAACAGAACCGGACCTGAGCAAAATATAGGGCTGAAGAACTTGTGGAAAATATTTATTTGCCACAATTTTTTAAAAGTTTAGAATTAGGCAAATTTATGTCCTTTCCTTTCATAAAGTTATTCTGTGGTGCCGAGGCGGACAATTTAAACAAAAATATCTAAGGGGCCAGGAAAATTCTATAAAATAATTTTACAGTCAGTGTAATAAAAATTATGGAACAGGCCACCTTTTCAAATATCTTTGCGCAAAATTTGCCACAATTTTTTAAAAGTTTAGAATTAGGCAAATTTATGTCCTTTTCTTTCATTTAATTATTCTGTGGTGCCGAGGCGGACAATTTAAACAAAAATATCTAAGGAGCCAGGAAAATTCTATAAAATAATTTTACAGTCAGTGTAATAAAAATTATGGAACAGGCCACCTTTTCAAATATCTTTGCGAAGCATGGTCATGCTGACTTATAAGAGGCGTAACAGACACCCCCGCAAGGGGAAGGCCAAAGCTAAATATTTGCAGATACATGGGCCTATAAAATATGGGGAGGGACCCCATATGAATTTTTGTTTTTGCGAGGATGGTGATTAGAAATTAGAAAAACTAAATTGTATTTAAAATTTTTTTAAAATAAATTGAAAATAAATCACATTTTGATACGTGTTAAAAATTAACTGGAAATTTATCTTATGTTTAGCTCACAAAAATCTTAAAAATGTTAGGAATGTTTTTATGGTATTTTAAATCAAACTATAAAAATTATATTTATTACTTTGCGGCGACGACCATTGCCTAAATAGGGAAGAATGAATCTGTGAGTTTTGATGAAAACCCTTACATATGCTATGATTACAGGTATTTATATTATCCTGTTTTCTCCTTTCAATTATTGTATTGTTGTTCATGTTGTAATTGGCATAATGAATCATATCGCTTATTATGGGTGGAAGAACAGGAAACGCTTGAGGGTGTAAAATTAATAAAATTATAATAAAACCATTTTCAGCTTTAGTTACATTAGTGCGTTCTATTCCCTTCCCCCTCCCATAAGCCAATGACTCTGAGACCCTTATAAGAGAGGGGTACATGATCTAAGCACCCTTCTCCTAAAAAATATAGGACAGATTTTGTAATTGAGAAAATGATATAATTATGAACTATTTTTAGAATAAAATTAATCACAAAAAATAAGTGTATTTTATAATTATGTCAAATTTTATTTTATTAATAAAATAACTGGTAAAAAATAAATATACAAAATGATGACTGATAAAAATTTATTGAATTGCATACATTTGGTTAATATTGCAAAAAATAACTTGTATGTTTTATAAGATATACAAACTAGTGATCTGCGTCAGCTATATTTTTCAAGCCCGGCCCGGCCCTAAATATTTTTTAAAGAAGTTTTGCCGGCCCAACCCGAACCCGAAATTTTTTTAAAAAAGTTTTGCCGGCCTGGCTTGAACTCGAAATTTTTTTAATAAAAATTTACCGGCCCGAATTTATTTAAATGTAGAAATTAATTTTTATAATTACTCAAAATAAAAGACACATATGTTATAATAATTAAAATCAAATATTTTTATTTTACATAAAAAATTCAATATAAAAATAAATTTAGATATATTTTAAAAAAATTCCAAGGCCCGACCGGACACGGCCCAAATTTTTTTTAATATATTAAGCCCGACCCGGCCTTTTTTTAAAAAATTAGGCCCGAGCCCAGCCCGTACGGGCTTTGGGCCGGGCTCGGGCCTAATTTTGCAGATCTCTAATACAAACAATACTAATAAAAATGATTTTAAAAAAAATTAAGGTCAACTGATATTTTATCCTTGAGCTGTGTGTCTCTAAAATATATTCTCTAGTATGTAGTATATCAAAATTTATAACGCTATAACATTTTATTTATTCTTTTAATTCATGTTTATAAAATTTTTATTTATGGATCGTTATATTTCTATAATCATAAATTATAAATTTATCGTTTATTACAATATTAACCATATTTTTGCGAATCAAAATTTAAAAAAATATAGATAACAGTCAATTATAGCAGTTAATAATGGAAAAAAATTCAAAATTTTGGAAAGACCATTTCATGGCTGTTTATGATTTTATTTAGGATTTAGACTAAGAAATCACAATCTCTCCTTAAGATTCCTATTTTTATAGGTCCATTATTAAATTAATAGAAATTAAGTTTCAATATTTATATGTAATTAGCTTCAATTTAAAGGTATTATGATATTTTAAACAAGTAAATAATAAAATAATTCTATGCGTATCATTATTAATTTTAAAAAAATGCTTTTCAATTCATTATAGCCTAAATAACTAATGGTTTGGTAAGCCCCTTGCAGTGGTTAGCCTAACCCCGCTATGGCAAAATTTCAAATTCAAAAATCTAATATAATATTCCTCAAAAAACGTCAATCAAGTTTAGCCAATAGTGTTCTTTTAAAAAATATTTGTCCAATAAAAATCATCATACAAATGTTAAGCCAATAGCCATTTTATCAGAGGGTTAGGATTTAAATTTTCACAGTAACAATGTTTAATTATAAAATATATTTTCTTACAATAAAATTCTTATTGAAGAATGGATCCATGTCATGAGAAGATGCAAGCTTACTCAAAACTCTGGAGAACAATTTACCAAGGAGTGCTTTGTGCCTTCCATTATTAAAAACCTTTAAGGAAGAATCCAATCCAACAATTTAATAAATATTTGAATTTTATACGATTATGTATTTTATTAAAAGTAATTTTTATGAATAAGTAAATATTTGCATTTATATGATTACTAGCTGATAGATCATCATGATTGTCAAGGAATTAGAATTTTTTCCTTAATTTGATGATAGATGAATCAAAAATTCCCCTCTTATTGATGGACAAATTAGAAATAAGCCTATATTTATTAAATATGTATAAAGTATAAATACTTATTAGCCTTCAATATGAGCAAATAATTGGAGAATGTAATATGCTTTTTTTCTTTATTTTTTAAAAAAAATTATGTTAAATTAAAAACCATGCTTTATGAATTATCACATTTATGAAATATCATAGGTCTCTAATTTTGCAACTAGATAAATTAATGGAATTGTTAATGGAAGCAGATTTTGGTTTTGAACTTATTAAGAATATGTCTTTAAATTAGCTTCAAAATTATAAGTGAGAATGAAAACCATCGGGTCCGGATGAAAAATTTTGTTAAAAGAATTGATAAATCCAATTATTTCTTTATTAGATAAAATTCATATAACTCACTAATCATATTTTTTTTATTACATATTTTTCATAATATATTTGGCCTTTTCTCTAAAAATTTATAGAAATCTTGTCAGACAAGGATAATCTATTTCTCTTTGACTATTTATTAAGGAAAAGATTCTTTTAACTTCGGCATTATAATCTAATATAGAAAAAAAAATTGGAATATAAGAGAAATCAGACCAATTTTGGTGAAGAGCATATTTTGCATATTCAACACTGATTTTATTTGTAATAAACAATTTAAAGTTGCAAAATTGGTTCAACAACTTTGACCCATTTAAAGAAACATTTTTATTTTTTTTAAATCTATAAACTTTTCTAAATCTGATTACTTGTGAATATTTTTAATTTCTATCCATTGAAAACATTCCAATTTAGAGGTTCTAACTAAAGAGGAAAATATAGCTATGTCTTTATACATTTAATATTGCACCTATTTAAATTTTTTTGTCCATTTTTAACATTTGTTTCAAATATTGCTTTTACTTTTAATGGATTTAAAAAAAATTTTTTTGACAAATATTTTAATGATTTAATATAGTTTAAAATTTCAATCAGAGATCTTCATGGGTCGACTTTCGACTCATGAGATGCCAGGTATAATATATTTTCTTACGCGCCTGGGTCAGGTATGGGTTTTTTTTACAAAAATTTAATGGTCTTGGGCAATTTTTATCTAAATTTAGCTTATTAAACTGTTACTAACTTAAAAATATATTGTATTTTTTTTCTTCTAATAATAATAAATTTCAGTATTGCAATCAAAGTGATGGCCTTAATATAGATTTTTGGATATGGGCTTGGGCAGATTTTTTTAGATTTTCTTATCCAACATGGACTGGGCCTGCAAATTATTTTTGGTGACCTGGATCTGAGCCTGATGAATAAATTTAGGCCCATGAAGGATTCCAATTTCAATAATTAAATTATCTCATCTCATTTGACTTTATTTGAACTAAAAGAATGGGCAAACCAAAGATAATCATTGCACAAAATTTCTGATAATTATTGAATTTTAAATTGAAAGAAATTGTGATTTTAATGCTCTAAATATTTCAAGAAATTGTTGTACACAAGGAAATAAAGAAAGCCATCGGGAAGTGTATATATGGAGGAAATATTAATCCATGATTATTTTGGCATAAATAACAAAATAAAATTATGCCTTTTGTGACATGCCTTAAGTTAACATATAATTTAGGGTTCCTTTAAGACCCTTTATCAAATATATAAGTTACTAGCTGAAAGCCCATCAAGAATGTTGGGGAATCAGAATTTTCTCCTTTATTCAATGATGTGTGAATAATGAATTTCACCATGATGATGGTTGAATCAGAAATTTTCCTATCTTATGAGGTGTTATTCAGAAATTTATATAGATAAGGGGTTATTCTAAAATTCTCCATTTTTTTAATAAATTTTTATTTGCAATTTATAATCTAAAAAATACATTCTTGATAGATGAGTTTTGCATAACTTATTTTCGATTTAACTTTGCCCTACAAAACTCTTCTAGCAAGAATATAATTTCAGATTATAAATTACAAATACATGAATAAAAATTTATTTTAAAAGAAATTCAAAATAAAGAAATAATCATAAACATATTTTATCAAAAATAATGAAAAACTTTAGATAACCCCTCATCTAAATAAATATAAATTTCTGAATCAAATTTTATAAGATAGGAAAATTTCTGATTCATCCATCATCAATTAAACGTTATCATTGAATAAACGAGAAAATTCTGATTCCCTGTCATTCTTGACGTGCTATCAACTAGTATGATTATATTCTTTAAAATATTATATGGCAACTTTATAGAGTATAGTTATAGGTATCTATTCATATATTATCCTTTATAATATAAGAAAACATAGGAGTCTATTTTGCAAAAATTGGTTCTACTAGCCCCAGTCTCCCATATACTTCAACTTTATCAATGGCAGATCAGAACACTTACTTAATAAAAATTTTACTATGGTAATACAAACTTTATAATTGAACCCTTATGATTGTTCATCATACCAATATTAATAATAAATTCATTATCATTGCCTTATTTTATAAACCTTTTTATCGTTTGATCCAAAGAGCCACATAGAATTAAGATCAAGTTAAGATATGCTTTTACCGTTTCCTCTTCAAAATGATTAAAATTATTAGTAAATTTAATAAAATAAGTTTTTAAGAGCTCAAAATTTAAGAAGGAAAAACTCAGTCACAAAAAGAAATATAATAGCTGGAAGTGCGCCTGCCTATTTAATGCCACATTTATCTGTAATATTTTAAGCTCTTTTACTTTATTTTATAATCTGTTACATTTTTTTGTATCACTTTAGAGTTGATCATATATCAGACAGTTAAATATTTTGCCTTTTTTAGCTGCATTCTGCAATATTGGTAAATACAGCCTGCAGGTTAGTATTGTTAAACGACCTGAAAAAACGACCCGAGTAAGATCTTCGCCAAAATATTATGTAAACTTGGAGATTTTGCTCATAGGTAGCAAAAAGGTTTGGACCTCTATTTGCCAAATTCCGAGGCTTATATAATATTATTTTCTCTTATTAATAGGGCCATTTTTGAATTCATTCGATTTGATGAAATCTCCTCATTATACTTTAATTCTTACCAAAATGAACACTGAAATTATGTGGACAATTGTACATTATTCATTACTATTGAGTTCAAAATTGGTAGTATTCTTTACTATAATATTTTCAGAAGTTTAGCAGTCTAAGTTAATTTTTTTACTATAAAATATTGCAAAACGAATCAGCAGAAACCTAATAAAATATGAATAATATACTTATAATTATTTATAATGTATTTAAATAAAAATATTTTCATTTTCGATAACATTGTGGGATTTTAAGATATTTGGCGAAATGTTGGCGAGATATTTAGTCTTGTTTTTTTCGGCGGGACAGATATATATTTAGTAGGACAGCGCTATTTAACACGGGACATATGGCAGGTCTAACTATAGACCATGGCTATGCCTATTATTTTTATAGCTATGGCTTCATATACAAATTTAGGTTTGAATATATTTGGTATTTAATTTATTTATCTGACAAGATATTTTCATTAAAACATCTGCTTATTTGATATGAACACCTATTATAGATATTATTCTCGACGAAAATACCATCATCTTACGATCAAAGGAAGCCCTCCCATTAAAATATTGTTATTTTTATCAATTTAAAAAATAATATTGTATAAAAAATAAAGACATTTTTTTTATTTAAAATGAGTATGGGAGATATATAAATACTCAAAAAGGGGGTGGGGGTGGGGGGGGGGGTAGAGTCTTATAGGGGGTACCCAATTATAATGTTACGTAATCATAAAACTCGTTCCCCATGCTATTCTAATAAAATTATTGCATATCCCCCCCCCCCTAATAAAGGGTACTATTTTACTATGTTGAACAAAAAACTGCCATCTAATCAATATTAAAATTTGTGTTTAACCAGGATTTGTATTTGTTCCACTATCGGAATAATTATTATGAGCTAGGATGTGAGCACGAGGATTATAATATATAACTGGTCCCATGTAAATCGAATCTGTCAACGCGTTAAATGCATTACTAGAGGAAGATGTTGATGATATATTAGGTAAGTTTGAGGGTAAACTATGCTTGTACATCAATTTGTACATTTCTTCCTCTTGATCGTTAATAGCTCTCATAAAATCCGGAGTTCCCACGTCGGGGTGCCTTAAAATGTTTATCTTAGGACCCATCTCAGCGCCGTTTAGACAAATAACATTTTTATTACGTTTGATCTGGTAATCGTTATTCAAGCTATCATCAATTGAATTTGATCTAAAGGGGTCTATCGTACTAGGTAGAAAATGGAGCCAATTATTGTATGAAGATAAGTTCGAAATCAATGAGAATTTGTGTTTATCTTATTATTTTAGAAGATATAGTGCAAAGATTTAAATAATGGTGAATAATATTTATTAAATATATTTATATTTATTATTATGTTAGACGAAACGAATTGAATATAAACGAATTCAAATATCAAATTATTCGCTTTGTTTGAATACAAAAAAGACAAATATTCAATTCGAATAAATAAAATTACTTTAATGATAGGAACACAAAAAGCTAACCTCTAGAAGATCTTCACGAGATGTAAAATATGTCTTTTTATTAGATTATATATTTTTTTAAATGGTGTTCATCAATTTGATCAATAAAACTATATTTATTATTTTTTTTCAAATTTTTTATGTAATAGCGGAACATTTCTTTATTTATATAATTACTACTTGATGACCCGTCAAGAATGACGGGAATAATAAAATCTTGAACTATTATATGAATTTTTTTTAAATACATTTTTTTATATAAAATGACAAATTTTAGTGATTATTTATTCATTTTATTAAATTTAGCATAAAATATATGAAATTGTAATAAAAAATGTAGTGTAGATATTGATAAATTGGTATTGTATGTCATTTCCAGAGTTCAAATATTGTTGTTGAGATAAAATTTTTATACTGGCATATTTTGGGGTTGTAATAAGAGATAAATGTATTGGCTAAATATAATTTAAATTTATTTGTTAAATCTAAATTATAATAAGTATTTAGGATTAGTGAGGGATATTAATTTTCTGGCATGAGAAGATATTGATAAATAGCTATTTTATACTATTTGCAGAGCTCCTATATTGTGGTTGAGATAAAAAAAAATTTATTACCATATTTAGGGGTGATAAAAATAGTTTATAAAAATTAATAAATTTTACTTTGATTGAATATAAATACTTACGCTAAAATTAATATGAGATAAATGTTTATTTTTCAATTGGCTAAATATAATTTAATTTGCTTTTTTAAATTTAATAATATTCATTCTTATCATAATTTGAGGTGAGGGAGGTTAGTATTCTTTTTAATATAACAACAAGATCTAATTTATATAAATTAATTGAAAAATATGTTAATAGCAAAATATTAACATATATGTCGTATTGGGATATGGAATCATGTAAGATTCGGAATGATTCATCTTGAATCCCCACGTTTTATTCGGGATCTTTTTTTTAAATATTTTTTTTAATAATATTTTAGAAATATTCCGATTCCCATGAAAAAAATTTAAATAATTTAATTACTTTTTCTTCTCTTTTTTGCGACTGGCACCATATAATTAAAAGGCCTAAATAAGAGATTTAAAAAAAAGTAAATAGTATAAAATTAAGGCGTATAACGAATGAAAAGGGATGAGGTTAAGACTTTTTTGTTTTAAAAAATATTAATAAATATATTTATAAAAAATCCGAATTATTGCAACAAATTTCGTTGAACATTTAAGCAGGGACGGTTAAGGTTCAGTATATAAAAAATTATAATGGTTGCGTTTTGGTTACGGTTCTTGAGAAGAAATTTATAAAGGTTCGGTTCTGTTCAATTAATTATAAAGGTTTAGTTCATATTTTTTTTTTATTGAAACCATCTTCTAATTTATTTATATTATAAGCATCTATGAATTATATATAAAAAAAATATATAAGATTCGAAATAACTCATTTTTAAATATATTATTTAAACTTAGCCCTTTCTACAAAAACTTGTGTTGCGGGACCGCCAGTACTATAAGAGAACGTTTATATAATTCTGGATATTAAAATTATTTCTTTAAAATATAAAAACTGAACCGGTTTAACCATTTTTTCTAAAGGTTCTTTTTACTCCTTCAAAAAATAATAATATTCGGTTACGGAAAAATAAATTTTTTTAAAAAAAAATATTGGTATCCTGTCTTTACAGATAATCTTTAATAGAGAATGCAAATATAGAGAAACTTTTATAGAGAAAACAATTGTAGAGAATGTCGTTTATAAAGAATATCGTTTATAGAGAATGATTTTATAGAGAATTTATTTTATAGAGAATTTATTTTATAGAGAAACTTTAAAAGAGAAAACAATTATAGAGAATGTCGTTTATAGAGAATCTCATTTATAGAGAATGATTTTGTAGAGAATCTCGTTTATAGAGAATGATTTTATAGAGAAACTTTTAAAGAGAAAACAATTATAGAAAATGTCGTTTATAGAGAATCTCATTTATACAGAATGATTTTATAGAGAATCTCGTTTATAGAGAATGATTTTATAGAGAATTTATTTTATAGAGAAACTTTAAAAGAGAAAACAATTATAGAGAATGTCGTTTATAGAGAATGATTTTATAGAGAATTTATTTTATAGAGAAACTTTTATATAGAGAAAAAAATTATATTTGAAAGTCGTTTATAGAGAATGTCGTTTATAGAGAATGATTTTATAGAGAATATTTTACAGAGAATTGTTTTAGAAAGAATTATTTTATAGAGAAGGATTTTATAGAGTATAATTTTATATTGAAGAATTTTATAGAGAATGATTTTATAGAGAATGATTTTATAGAAAATGAATTAAGTATTATTTTAGAAATAAATTTTCTCATAAAAACAAGCCAGATATCGTCATATAAATTCTCGGAACCCTTGAATAAAAAAAGGGAAAAAGTAATCTTAAAAAAAATTATCACGTTCCTGATTTGTATTGCTTATGAATAATTATGATAATATTTTTGAGTTTCCTGTTGTTATTTTTTTTAAAATACGCTGAACAATTAGAAGTAGTAATGCTAAAATTATGGAAATGTTTCCTTCTTTATCAGTTTCTATTAGTGCTTTGCTTTAACTAGTAGAGTAGCCATTTTAAAAAAAACTATTAGCAACAAAACCAGCCTTACGCCAATTGTTTTAGAAAATCTTGTCAATATTTAGTTGCTTTGTGCATTATTTTAATCTGCTTGCCCCGGCCCCGATTTTTTAAAAATATACTATATATTTTTAATTTGTAATAATGGTGATTTAAAATATTTGGTTTTACAATATATGGCCTGGCCCGAGTTTTTTAAAAAAAGCTTTTTTTGACCCGGTCCGTGTATTTAAAAAAATAAAATGTTAGGCTCGGCTCGGGTATATTTAAAAAAATTAAAATACGTCTCGGGTTTAAGGTCGGGCCTGTAGGTCTCTGATTTATAGTGCGCTTTTATAATTTCCATAATAAATCTGATTTTACCAATTCCGAAGAATATCTACCCTGGGAATTTCATATGATTGCGCCATATTTTTTTGTATTTAATAATTTTATTTTGTTCTATTTTTTCATTTTAAATCATATATTGAGCTCGTTTTATTAAATTTTAAATCTGATTTTGCAATGCATTATATAAATTTCAGAAGATCTTATATTGAACCTCTGAAGAAATTTTAATTTACATTAATCTGAAATTTATAAGTAGTGTTAGTAGCCTAAAAATCAGCTAAACATAATTTGGCTTAACCGAAAAATCGCCTAAAACTAATTAGACAAAATGTAGGGACTGGGAGCTAGGCTAATCACCCGTCAGCGTTACGCAACACTAAGCTTTATTAAAATTATTTTATATATTTATTATGTAACGATATATGACGGGCGATTAACCGAGCTCCTTAGCCGATGCCTAATTTTTGAATAATTAGTTTTCGCCTATTTTTATGCTAAGCCTAATTATGCTTAGCCGATTTTTTAACCTAAAAACTTGGCTAAACGTTTTGGAATTGCCTAAAATTATCCGATTGCGCAACATTAAGGGTGGGTATTCTACACTTATTCAGGTGCATTTCTGGCAAAATCAGTTTTTAAATTTAATAAAACGCACTCAATTAATGATTTTAAATGCAAATAATAACAAAAAATAAAACAATACCCATCAAACTATCGCCTTACCAAAATTAAGTTTAGTTAAAAGACCAGTAGAGTACTGTCTAATATTCACAGGGTAGGCAGGGAAGACCAGGGGGTGGTTGAATCAATTTCTGTCAAAATCGTCATAGGTCCGAAAATAATTGTATTTGAATTTACAAAATACAAAATGATAGTTCAAACCCTTACCTAAAATTTATACATTGACAAAATTTAAAATAATACACTTTTTTCTCTAAATTGATTTTAGTAAAATGAAAATTTCTTATTACAAGCCTAAACTCCTTAGCAATGTAGAGAAAGATGAATCAAAAAGTTTAAAATGTTTTTTATAGGTTTTTTGCACTTGTTAAACATTCCGAAGATAAGACTTTTATTGTTTATAAGAAATTTTTTATTTACATATAGGGATTATATTTATTGATACCAATTTGTTTAAATATGGTTGGTTCACAGACAAACTTGTATTTCATCATATGATTATAAGAAGCTTTGCATCATGATATACACTGATTTCCATTGCATTCTAATGTCTTTCTTTAAAAAATATCGAAGCTTAATATTTGCAGCAGATTGCTCAATATTTTACTAACTCTTTTACACTTAGAAGATATTTCATATACCTAATTATCAAAAGATTTTGCATCATATATTATAATACTACCCCCTTCTTCCCCCACTCCCCTCATTTCCTATACCACATCAAAATTAGAACAACGGAATTCCAAATACAAACTACCCATTTTAATTTCAATGCCAATCTTGAGTTATAACCCCTTCCCCTGTGGTAAAAGGTCCTGTTTAACATTGTTTGAATGGCTAAGCGTCTTTTTATTATTGGTAGTCGGTCCATAGATCTGGTTATAAGCAAGTATAATTATCATTAATATTTAAATTTCTTCGTATCATTGGGGCTAATTATTTATTCAAACTTTTCTGTTGGGAAGGGGGGGGGGGAGGTGGGTGTTTCTTAATAAAAAAAATTTCATGATTAAAGCAATATTTTTATTTTCCAGTATAACATAAGGATTTTCATTATCTACGCTTCCTGAGACAGATATCTTACTTTCCTTATATATTTTTTATAGTTGCTTTCTACTGTAAAAAGTGGAATCATAAATGATAAGTTCGCTTCAGCTTGTTTAATTAAT